AGATTTTTAAAATAAGTTTGACTCTATAGCCCTGAGTTCAGTTTGCTTTAGTCCCTTCCTCTGTCATATCATCTTTCTCCAGGTGTTCAAACAATCTACCCAAAGACAGCAAACAAGGAACTAGAGGTTGGTTGGAAATTTGGGAAAACTGCCTTCGATGTGTCTCTCTCACATAGATGTTTCTCTCTGCCTGCTTCTCCTCCCTCCCCCCTTTTCCACTCTCTCTCAAACTCAATGGAAAAAATATCCTCAGGTGAGGATTAACAAAAAACAACAAAAACCTATTCTTTCCCATTTGAAACAGCTTTAAAAAAAAAAAAAAAGTCTGTATTATTCATAACTCAACCAGTTCCAAAATATATAGTAGAAGCCGAAACCGGTTTGGCTCAGTGGATAGAGCATCAGCCTGCGGAGTGAAAGGTCCCGGGTTCGATTCCGGTCAAAGGCATATACCTTGGTTGCGGGCACATCCCCAGTGGGGGATGTACAGGAGGCAGCTGATCGATGATTCTCTCTCATCAATGTATCTAACATTCTATCCCTCTCTCTTCCTCTCTGTAAAAAATCAATAAAATATATTTTAAAAAAATATATAGTAGAAAAGGATAACTATAAAAATCGTATTAGATAGTAAACAGACTAAAAAGCATGAAAAATATACCCTAAGGATTCCAATCAAATCACATGTCACACAAAAAGTGAAATAGAGGAAACCCGAGATTTCTAAAATATTTTACTTTTGCTAATTTCAATATAACAAATGAAGCAACGTACTGAGAAGTAGCTCCGTTCCTTCTCTCCCAGTCCCAGGTGCTCTGGGAGCCGCGGGCTTCGGTGCAGATACGGCCAAATCCAGGACCCATACCTGGCACAACCGGTCCCCAAAATGCCACAGAAACAGAATCAGGAAACCTCAATCACAAAGACACAAATCCCTTAATGGGGTGGACCCCAAGTTCTTGAGGAACATGAGCTTTGCCAAGAAGCACAAGAAAGGCTGAAGAAGATGCAGCTGACAATGCCAGGCTGTGAGCAAAGCCCCCACAAAGTCCAAAGAGGTCAAGCCCAAGATCCCAAAGAGCAACAGCCACAAGTTCAATTAACTTGCCTACATCACTCACCCCAAGCTTGGGTGATGTGCTCCTGCCCATGTCACCAAGAGTCTCAGACTGTCCAAGTCCAAGGACAAGATTCAAACCGAGCCCCAGGATGTGGCTCCCAAGCTGCAGTCCAGGCTCCCAAAGGTGCCCAGGCCCCCACCACAGCTCCACGGTACTGGCCTCTGTCTATCCACGTGAAGACGGAGGAGTGGTGTGCCCCTGGGCTGCTGTCTGCGCGGAGCTGCTGTCCTCCTGTGCTATTTGTACAAATAAACCTAGGGTAGGGGGAAGGGGGGGGAGGGGGAATACTCCTAGCAGGGTCACCCTGTTCTGTCCTGAACCCTGCGGAGATTTCAAGCACGTGCTCCATACTGTTTGTTAGTGAAGCAACCTGAAACCTAGTGTTATGTCACACCCTAGTTGAAAAAAACCTTTGATGGCTCCCCACACCTACACCTTAAAATTTAAACCATTATGCACAGCTTTTAAAGATTTTGGGAGGCCCTACCTCTAATGTATCTTTCCAGTCTTATTTTCCACTTCCAATTCTTTTCTTTTCTTTTTTTTAAAAATAATTTTATTGCTTTTTTACAGAGAGGAAGAGAGAGGGAAAAAGAGTTAGAAACATCGATGAGAGAAACATCGACCAGCTGCCTCTTGCACACCCCCTACTGGGGATGTGCCCACAACCAAGGTACATGCCCTTGACCGGAATCGAACCCGGGACTTTTCAGTCCACAGACCGACGCTCTATCCACTGAGCCAAACCGATTTCGGCTCCACTTCCAATTCTTTAAATCCATCACAAACACACTCTATACTCCACCTCCATCCCATGCTTGAGCTGTTTCATCCCCTTTGAACAGCCTCCTCTCCACTCCCTATTGAGATTCTATTCCTCCTTCAAAGTAGCAAAGTACAGTGGAGAGCCCAGACTTGAGGTCCAGATCCAGACCCACTAAATTTCTAACTCTAATTCCATTTCCATTACGTAATAGCTTAATGACCTTACGCAAACACTTCAATAGATCTGTTTTCTCACCTAGGAGCAGGCATACCATCTATGGCACTCTGTAAGGCTACTGGGAGAATTAAGCATAATGGTTATAAACTAGTATTTAGCACCATGCCTAAGAGCCATCTCTCCCCCTCCTATCCTTTCCTTAAATTCCAACAGCACTATCTATACAGTACCACACTATCGGCATTAACAAACTGCAGGACACCTATTCGTATGTGTGTCTGGCTTCACCCTTAGATAATAGATAAGACGGTTATGGGTATGGATTTCTAAATCTGCCACTTACTACTTGTGTAAGTTACTTTGCCTCTCAGAACCTGCTTCATCATCAATAAGTTGAATGGGCCCAAGCTGATTTGGCTCAGTGGATCGAGTATCCACACTGCAGACTGAAGGGTCCCAAGTTCGATTCCGGTCAAGGGCACATGCCCAGGTTGTAAGCTCGATCCCCAGTAGGGGCTGTGCAGGAGGCAGCCGATCAATGATTCTTTCTCATCATTGATGTTTCTATATCTCTCTTTTCTCTGAAATCAATATATATATATATATATATTTTTTTTTAAGTTGAATGGATGCTAACACCTTACAGTATTATTTTTTTTAATATATTTTATTGATTTTGTACAGAGAGGAAGGGAGAGAGCGAGAGCTAGAAACATCGATGAGAGAGAGTCATCGATCAGCTGCCTCTTGCACACCCCCCACTGGGGATGTGCCCGCAACCAAGTCACGTGCTCTTGACCGGAATCGAACCCGGGACCCGTCAGTCCCCAAGCCGACGCTCTATCCATTGAGCCAAACCAGTCTCGGCAACCTTACAGTATTATTAAGAGGTTTAAAAGAGTTCATGTATATCAAATACCTGGCATAATGCTTGACATCTAATAAGTTTCAAAGAATGTATAATGGCAATCTAGATGATGAAACTGACCCAGAAACTACTTAAAGAATACATAAATGTCATATACAGTTGCATTAGTATATCCAATTTCATAAAGTGATCTTAATACAACTTTAATCTGCTATTCACCCCTTACTGATATAGATGTCCAATGAAGACAAAAGCAGAGGTTGCTATGCACTTTGCTTCAGAAATGCTACCACATACTCATGTTCTTCCAGCATCAGACTAAGTACACCATGACTCATGACTCACATCACTACATTACATTTAAACACCAAGGGATAACCCTGAAGTTGTAGGGGGTAAAATGGTCTGCCAAAGTTAAACAAAACTCTGACATTAGTGGTCTGCCAGGAAATGGAAGCTGTGTATTCATTCTGATTCTAATTTGCTGTGTCATCAGTTTCTCTACTCAAAACGCCAATTAAATATCAACTAACTTCTATGATAGTATTTTTCCAACCCACTGCTCAACTTTTTAAGTTGATGTATAATAAACATGAACAAATCCTGCTAGTTTCCAGTGCCACTGATCAACTTAAGAGGGGAGAAGGAAAAAAAAAAAAAAAAAAACCTCCAAAATTAACTACAGTGAAATCTAATCAAGGAACTTTTAGAAAAGTGAGAACTTGCTAATATAAGAGAGACAAGTCGCAGCATTTGCATTCCACTATCAGTGATACACAGGTTGTATGGCACACAAGTTGAGGGCTCAGGAAAGGTTCCTAAAAGACAGACGTGGCTTTAAATCTCACACCACCACTTACTAGCTGTGTAACCTAAGCACCTTACTTCTTACCCTCATATCTTTCATCTGTAAAACAGGGATTGTTAACAGTATGCATCTTAGAGTATATTAAACCTGATAATGTGTGCTAGGTATTTAGCCAAGTACCTACATCATCATCCTCAATAAATAAATGGCATTCTAATTTAGGAGTACCTGAGCACGGTTGGTAATCGCTGAAATGAATATATATATATATATATATATATATATATATATATAGAGAGAGAGAGAGAGAGAGAGAGAGAGAGAGAGAGAGAGAGAGAACACTTTTATATTAGGAAATAAGCGTATCGTTAACTTTAATTCTTCCCTAAGTTAAAAAAAAAAAATGATTAATAAGCGGTAATACTGTTTGGAAGCATTTTACCAAGCCCTTCAGACATCCATTCTGATTTGATTTCCACAGTTTCCCTAGAGGATAATCATGTATTTTATACCTAAGGGAACCGGTATCAACCAAAGTAACCAAAAGAGTAAAGGTTACCCACCCTCATGGTCTCCTTCCACACCCAGATTCTCCAGCTCAGAAATGAGGGCTTGTTGCCAAAGCTCTTAGGCCCTCAACCCATTTTCAAAGAAGGCAGACTCCAGCAGGTCACCACCCTCCTCAAGCTGGGTCAGGCAGTGAGTCCGGGAACAGGCCGGGGGCGGTACCACGCCTCGCCCAGAGCCACTGATGACATTTATAATGTTGCATTTGTTTCCTAACGCGGGGTCCTCCCACACCTCTAGGGCGGGGGCCAGGCCTGCCCTTCCCCCGCCAGATCGCCCCACACCAGCCTTGGCATCCAAGATGCCCTCCGAAAATGTGTAAGCGAATAGCATGGGGTGCCGGCAGGATGTCCAGGGACCCGAAACGAGGCCAACCCCACATGGGGACTAAGCATCCGCGGGCGATCCAGAGTCGCCGGGCGGAGAGGACCCGATCTGGGGAGGAGGTCTGAAGACCAGCGCCCAGGAAGGACACCGGGGAAGCTGGAGGGGGACAGGCGAGGCTGGCAGCTGCCGCCGCTGGAGGGCCGGGCACACACAGGCTCGGGGCAGCAGGGCAGTTGGCGTCTGGGGGGAGGGGGCCGCCTGCCGGTCCGAGGACCTCGCGCCCGACTTCAGGGGGGCTCCGGGCTCCTCGGGGGGCCCACGCCCCAGCCCGCGGCGGCACCTGCTGCGCCGAGGACTCGCTGCTACCTGAAACTGCAGCAGCTTCTCTGTCTGCTCCTGGGTTAGGTCCTGCTCCTCAGGCGCCGCCATTTTGCCGCCGCCTCTACGCCTCTGACCCGTCCGCACCGTCACCCGCCGGAACTGATCTCAGCAGCTACTACGTCCGGTCGGAACGGCCGCCGGCGCGCAACTGCGCCTGCGCGCGCTGGCTAAGCCCCGGTGGTGGCGGCAGCGGTCGTGGCAGTCCGCGCCGCCAGAGGGCGCCACGCTCGGGCTGATTCCCGAAGAGTCACGGAAATTACCGAGGGACTGTCGTACCAGTCCTCAGGATTTCGTCCAAGAACCGATCAGCTGGGACCTGATCCGCAGGTCGGCAAACTGCGGCTCTTTGGACCCTTGAGTGTGGCTCTTAGGCCAACTTAGGAGTCCCTTAATTAAGTTAATAACAATGTACCTACCTATATAGTTTAAGTTTAGAAAATTTGGCTCTCAAAAGAAATTTCAATCGTTGTACTGTTGATATTTGGCTCTGTTGTCTAATGAGTTTGCCCACCACTGGGCTAGGAAACTAAGACTACTGAGATCTCAAACAGCCAAGAAGTCCCGAATGTGGATCGAGAAGTTCCGGAAGTTCCCGAAAGCCAATCGGCTGTTTTCCGCTGTACCTTAACCATACGCTATTCTTGAATTTTTTTTTTTTTTTTTTAGGAAATTGTGGACTTGACAAAATATTGGCGTTTGAGGTTCGATTCCTGCTCTGACATTTCCAGAAGATCCTGATCATCCCTCGGGAGGTTCCTACAGTCTGAATATTGGTCGGGCATTTCCCACGCCGCCTTCCAGGCTATAACTGTGGAGGCTGTGGCTCTCTAAGATTGCTGGGTCTTTGAGGTTTAATGGCGCTCCCAGCCTTGGGCAAAGTTTTCACTCCCGTGGGACTCTGCTGCTGCTGCCTCAGGCTTGGAGTCACCTGCCCACTGGCCCGTCCTCCCTGAGACCGACAGAAGGAAGACCCTTTGGGTTCAGGTACTAGTGGCCACCGTTGCCATGGTGGGATGAGGTTCCCCCATAGCCCTCTCCCACCCCAACCCCAACGACGACGTGGCGCCTCAGTGCTTCTCCTTGAATGCAGACCCTCCCCTTTGCAAGCCTGAACCACACCCCTCAGTGACTGTCCTTGTTTGTTCCAACCTGCCACCTTTCTTTATTTTTTTAATTTTTGAAATATATTTTATTGATTTTTTACAGAGAGGAAGGGAGAGAGATAGGAACATCAATCAGCTGCCTCCTGCACGCCCCCCACTGGGGATGTGCCTGCAACCAAGGTACATGCCCTTGAGTAGAATCGAACCCGGGACCTTTCAGTCCACAGACCGACGCTCTATCCACTGAGCCAAACCGGTTCCAACCTGCCACCTCTCTTTAGAGCTCCCTTTTGCACTTTCCCTTCTTTTCTCCTGCCATCTGTCTCCTCTTGCCACCCCTCCTTGGGGAGGCAGAGCGGTAAGTTCTGGGGCTCACTTTTCCACAGACTCTCCATGTGACCCTTAGCAAGGCCCAGTATTCTCTCCTTCTGCAGGATCCCACCACTGCCCACCTCACAGGGTGGACCAGGTGAGATAGGAAGGACGGAAGGTGTTTTGAAAACTGAAGTCCTGGGAAAAGCACATTAAGGGATGGAAGGACTTTCGTTCGGGTGACTGCTTTCTTTCATGCCTGTAGCAGGTCTTACTGTTACGAGGGACACCCCCGGGGGGGGCTCTTACTGCCTGTCACAAGGTCTAGTGAGGTTGGGAACAGAATGCAATTGCAGAAGTCCGCCATTGTTCTTGGTTGTCAGGCGATGAGATGACGGCTTGGCTCCTGGTGGGGTCGGCCTGGTCATGCTTCACAGTTCTACTTGCTTGCTGGGTGCAGTATACATGGTCCGCAGCAGCCGAATCGCCTCCTCCATCACTTTGCTCAGGATCAAAGGGAGTAGGCAGGTGCACTGGCCTGAGAAATGAAACTTGGAAAAGAAAATAAAAATAAAAATAAAAATAACTTAACCCTCTGTTCCTATACGTATATTGTACTTCAGAATTTCACCTTAGTATGATTATCTTTCAGTTAACTCAGGTGCTCTCTCAGATTATAAGTCTCTCCCCCCGCCCTTCGCTCCCGTCATTACCAGGACTGCCCAAACTTCACGACAATGTCCTGGAATTTTTCTTACACCTTTAAGGTACAATTGGAAGGAAATAACTGTGACTTTAAATAATTTATTACATCAACTCAAAGCTCGGGAGACTGTCGTATTGTTCCATATCTCCAACAAAACCACAGAGACAGAAGTAATCTGTAGAAGAAATGGGCTCCGGAAACAAGTTATAGAGCCAAAGGAAGGGCCCTTGGCAACACATGTGGGGGACGGGGAAGGAGGAAAGGAAAGGCAGGCGGGGTGTTCTCCCTGGAGGGAGGGAGAGCACACGGGGTTCTCTGTCCTGAAGGCTTTAAGGGTGGAGATGTTGGGGAGGTCCCGGGGAAGATCTCAGTAGAATGTTCAGCAGCTTTCCAGGTGCGTCCTTTCAGGGTCGGGGGTCTCCACTGACTGCCTTGTTGGTGCCAAGTCAGGGGTCATTGTTCAGTGCAGCTAGTCCTGAGGTCAGCTGTGGTGTTTCTTATGTGCTTTTGCTGTTTTTCTGGGGCTGGCGCTGAAATACAACTGAGGCCGAGATGTTATCTCTAGGGAGAAAAGATCAGGGGGTCCAAGCCATAGGACCAGCCATATGCTAGGGGGGAAAGGTCACCCTGATGGTGAAGTTCCCACCTATAATTGTTCCTGAGTATGAAAATTAAACTGAAATCATGGCAGCAGCCCCACCCCCAGCGGCTCTAGGCCGGGGGGGGGGGGGGGGGAGGAGTAGGACAAGTTGGGCACCAGCGCCTGAGGCTGGCTGCAGCTAGGGAGACCAAGATCACGCCTGCCCCGTGATCCCAGGCCGCAGCCAGCCAGAAAAGTCGCCCACACTGCATCCCAGGGGAGACGGAGAAGCTGCCTATCCTGCAGTCATGGACACCAGTACCTGCGGCTGGCTGTGGCCCGGGAGACGGAGAAGCCACCCACCCTGTGGTCCTGGGTGCCAGGACTTGTGGCTGCAGCCAGCCTGGGCACCTGTGGCTGACCAGAGGGAGGGAAGCCCTGGTCCCAGGTGCCTGTGGTCGACTGGAGGAGGGAAGCCGGGATCCCAGATGCGGGGCCAAGGCAGAGGTGGTTAGGGGCAATCAAGCCAGCAGGGGAGCAGTTAGGGACAATCAGGCTGGCAGGCAGATGTTAGGGGCAATCGGCCAGCAGTTCTGGATTGTGAGAGGGGTCCCAGATTGGAGAGGGTGCAGGCCGGGCTGAGAGACACCTCCCCTCCCCCCTCCACCTCCCTTCTCTGTGCACAAATTTTGTGCACCAGGCCATTATTCTATATGTAGAAAAGCCAAAGCAACCATTATGACTGGTCACAATTATGTGCACTGACCACCAGGGGGCAGACGCTCAACACAGGAGCTGCCCCCTGGTGGTCAGTGCACTCCCACAGCCAACCTCCCACGGCCAGCCAAGCTTTCTCGGTCCTTCCCCCTGGTCTGCTGGCCCCCAACTGGCCCCGATTGCCCCTGATAGCAGGCCAGGCTGAGGAACCTCACCCATGCACGAATTTGTGCATTGGACCTCTAGTCTAGTGCTAAGGAGGCAGGATATTAAGAGGCTAGAGAAATTCCTTGACAAGTGGAATAAAGGAAACAGACAATACTATTAAATAAGGTCAAACAATCTGAACAATTGCCGAAACCGGTTTGACTCAGTGGTAGAGCGTCGGCCTGTGGACTGAAAGGTCCCGGATTCGATTCCGGTCAAGGGCATGTACCTTGGTTGCGGGCACATGTCCTGAGGGAGGGAGAGAGAGAGAGAAACATCAGTGATGAGAAAGCATCATCAGTTGGCTGCCTCTTACACAACCCCTACTGGGGTATTGAGCCCACAAGCCAGGCATGTGCCCTGAATGGGAATCGAACCGTGATCTCCTGGTTCATAGGTTGATGTTCAATCAGCCAGGCAATATTGGGTCTTCTAATCCATAAACAAGGTATATTTCTCCATTTTTTTTTTAGATCTCCTTTAATTTCTCTCAGCAATATTTTGTAGTTTTTAGTGTATGAATCTTTCATATCATTTGTTAGATTTATTTCTAGATACTTATATTTTGGTGCTATAGTAAATGGCATTTTAAAATTTCATTTTTTCCTCTTGGTCACTGCCAATAAATAAAAATACAACTCATAGTCTGGCTGGTGTGGCACAGTTGAGTGTTGTCCATACACCAAGAGGTCACCAGTTCAATTCCTAGTCAGGGCACATGCCTGGGTTGTGGGTCAAACCCTAAGTAAGGTGGGGGGGAGTTGCAGGAAGCAGCCAATCGATGTTTCTAGCTGTTTCTGTCTGTCTCTCCCTCCCTTTATCTCTAAAAAAAAAAAAATCAATAAAAAATATTTTAAAAATACAATTTTATTGTATGCTCATTTTACCTCCTATGACCTTGCTAAACACACATATTAGTTCTGGTAGATTTTTTTTATACAGAGTGGAAGAGATGGATTTCTACATAAGACAATCATGTTATGTGTGTATATATATATATATATATAGTCTTACCTCTTCCTTTTATATCTGGACTAGAGGCCTGGTACACAAAATTCATGCACTGAACTTAGGTAATGAAACCCACCCCCTGGTGCCTGAGCTAAAGGTCATGCTGACAACGTAGCTGCCTCTGGCAAGGTAAGTTTCCAGGATGTGGTCTGCTGATGCCACTGGACTCAGCCAACAATCAGCTCATGTGCCTTCCCAGGCATTCTCTACAATTTAGTATACATGTAATCATAAATCTCTGAACTTTGTGTACAGCATAGCATAACATTTTAAAGATGATTCAATGAGACCCTGGCTGGTGTGGCTCAGCTGATGAGGCACTGTCCTATGCACCAGGAGGTTTTTGATTCAATTCCCAGTCAAGGGCACATGCCTGGGTTGCTAGTGGCACGGGAGATAGCCAATCCATGGTGCACTCTCACATTGATGTTTCTCTCTCTCTCTCTCCCTTTCCCTTCCTCTACCTGATATCAAACTATACTACAAGGCTATAGTTATCAAAATAACATGGCACTGGCATAAAAACATACCTATAGATCAATGGAACAGAAGAGAGAGTCCAGAAATCACCCCATACCTATATAGTCAATTAATCTATGACAAAGGAGACAAAAATATGTAATGGGGGTAAAAACAGTCTCTTCAATAAATGGTGCTGGGAAAACTGGGTAGATTCATGCAAAAGAATGAGACTGGATCATTGTCTTACACCATAGACAGGAAGAAATTAAAAATGGTTTAAAGATATCCTAGCCCAGTGATTTTAATGCCACGACCTTTTAATACAGTTCCTCATGTTGTGGTGACTCCCAAACATAAAATTATTCTCATTGCTACTTCATAACTGTAATTTTGCTACTGTTATGAATTATAATGTAAATATCTGTGTTTTCCGATGGTCTTAGGCTTTACAGCAGCGGTTCTCAACCTGTCACGACCCAATTTATTTATTTTAGGTTGAGAACCACTAGCAGGGTCATCTAAGGCCATCAGACAACACAGATATTTACATTACGATTCATAACAGTCAATGAAAGAAAAATACCACGTGATCTCACTCATTTATGGATAATAAAGAAAATTATAAACTGTTGAACAAAAAGATAGATACAGAAACAGTAAAGCATCAAACAGAATGTTAAAAAAAGGGAATTAATTAGAGAAAATATTTTAATATTGCTACTTGCCCTTTCTCTATAATAGAAGTATCAGAGGTGAAAGGAAATTCGTAAAATATATATAAAATTTCTCTCCTGTCAGAGTCTGGGATGCGCCGCGGGACCCAGAGTCAAGTCCCTGCCCACCCATGTGCGCCTTGAAATTGCACAAGACCCAGACCTGCCCCCCCCAGTCCTCGCTCTTTGCCCCCCTCCATCCCCCCCCCCCCCCGGGCCGCCCAGCCTCACGTCCCCTGGGCCGGAGCGCGAGAGCGTGAGGGTGCAAAGATGCAAGGGCATGATGACCATTTGCATATTAACTCTTTATTATATAGGATATGGTGTTGAATAAAGGATGTAGATGATACCAGACTGACTGTATGTTGGTAATATTGAGGTTTGGGGGTTAGTATTTCACTTTGCATTATATCATTCTTTCTACTCTGTATGCTTGAAAATTTTCATTAAAAATTTCTCCACTTAACTTTATACTTGAAATTTAGATTTTGTAAGATTGTCCCATATCTTTACTCAACTTCATTTATTTTTTTTAAAAATATATTTTATTGATTTTTTTTAAAATTTTTTTTTACAGAGAAGAAGGGAGAGGGATAGAAAATTAGAAACATCAATGAGAGAGAAACATTGATCAGCTGCCTCTTGCACACTGGGGATGTGCCCGCAACCAATGTACATGCTACTTGACCGGAATTGAACCTGGGACCTTTCAGTCTGCAGGCTGACGCTCTATCTAATGAGCCAAACCCGTTAGGGCTCAACTTCATTTAATGATGTCTTTTGAGCATTACTGAATTTCACAGTTAAGTGCAGAATTAGAAAACTAGAACTGTGTTTAGAGATATCCAAAGATATTTAGGGAGGTGTCAAGAAAGTGGGAATCTCCAGCATAAAGAAGTGTTGAAAAGTTCAAAATATAGCTTTAATAACCTCAATTTTTCTGTAAATCTAAACTGTTCCAAAAAATAAAGTCTATTAAAAGTAGAATTGCCCTGGCCTGTGTGGTTCAGTTGGTTGGGCATTGTCCAGTGCACTGAAAGATTGCCAGTTGGATTCCTGGTCAGGGCACATGCCAGGGTTTAGGGCTCCATCCCCTTAGGAGGAGTGCAGGAGGCAGCCGATGGATGTTTCACATTGATGCTTCTCTCTTCCTCTCTCTCTCTCTCTCTCTCTCTCTCTCTCTCTCTCTCTCTCTCTCTCTCTCTCTCTCCTTCTCTCTCTCTCTCTCTCTAAGTTAAAAAAGTTTGTAAATATTTATATATAACTTTAATATTAATTTTTAATATTGATACTTAAGAGTAAGAGTAATGTATAAAAGCAAGCATGGTTGAAGAATAATCTGGACCAGTAACTTGTATAAATTAAGCATGCAGTTGAATTCTTTTGATGGCTACATTAGGAAGGAACAGGGAGAAGGAAGTATTTCAGAGGAGTGTATGCATTGGTTATGCATGGGTATATGCCAGATCCTGTTGTCTAAATTACTGACTGACATCTCCAGGATTCAAATTAGAACACACACACACACACACACACACACACACACACCCTGAGGTCACCATGGGCAGGTTTACTCTCCAGTCTCCACAAAACCTGGAGCTGACATTTATGATTGGTTTGTTAAACTAGCAAACTTTCAAGGTCTTTTCAGCACCCAAACCATTGGTTGGGGGTCTAGGAAGAGAGGGGAAATGATGGTGGAGCAGTACGCTTGGGCCAGATTGAGCAGGACCTTAAATTTCTTTCTTGTTTATACTAATACTTTCATCATAAGCGTGAAACCCACAGTGACGTATTACTGAGCAAAACTGAAACGCCCCATCACTCCAACTCTATATCCATTACATTACCCACCCACTAAGGAAACTGCTGCCCACAGCTTGGGCATATCTTCCACTTCCTCCATGACTTTAAAGTCTCAAAACAAAACAAGCAAACAAACAAAAACAACAACAACAAAAAAGAAATTTCCAGAGCACGAATCCCACCGCGGTTCTTTCTCCAGGTCTCCTGGGAAGTACCATGTGTTTTAGGGTCAGAGCACCTTGCACACGGCCTGGGACTAGCCATTTGCCATCTGTTGGTCTCCTAGGTTGTAATCTCCTGATGGCCAAGGCTGGGCGTTGCTACATTTTGTGGCACCCGTGCTTGGCATAGCACTGGCAAGGAGGAGGCGTTAGGGCGCTTTGTAGTGAGGGTGATTGGGTGGAGGAGTCGCAGGCCGCCTTGATAAATTGTCTGCCTTTCTCAGGCCGGTTCAGACCTAAGGGACATGTAAGCCTCTAAGTTGTGGTCCAGACAGGTCATACAAACCCTGGCAGCCTGAACGGGAGCCTCCTTCAATGAAGAGAAATGCATACGAAATGCACCTCTGGCCTTGCAGGAGAGGTGCAGTGAGGCCCTGGCACTTAGGGTCACCTCTCTTCTGCAAGAACAGGGGATTCATAGGAATGAGGTTCCTAGTGTCTGCCCAGCTTCGGTGAGGAAACTCTACAGGATGGGTCAGGGGGAGGTCTGCGCATCGACCACCCCGAGGTGCGCCCTGCGCGGGCTGCCCATCCGCAGTCCAGCCCGGTTCCTCCAGACCCGCCAGAGCTTTGCGGGGTCCGGCGCCGGCGCTGGTGGCGGGAGGGGGCGCGCTGCCCGCCGGCCCCGCGCTGCGCCCCCTCCGGCGGCCGCGGGGAGCGCCCTCCGGCTCCGCGGCCCCGCCCTCGCGGTGACATCACCGCATTCCCGTCCGCCTCCCGCCGCGGTGACAGGGAGCCGGCCGGGCGGAGGGAGGTGCGGGTGCGGGTGCGGGTGCGGGTGCGGGTGCGGGTGCGGGGTGCGGGTGCGGGCGGTGAGGTCCGCAGCTCCGGGCACAGGCCGCGGCCCCGGGCGCAGCGCCGGGCACAGCCGAGCGCCGGGCGGACGCCGCGGCGGGACGCGGGGAACATGGCTGATGACTTTGGCTTCTTCTCGGCTTCGGAGAGCGGCGCCCCCGAGGCGGCCGAGGAGGACCCGGCGGCCGCCTTCCTGGCCCAGCAGGAGAGCGAGATCGCGGGCATCGAGAATGACGAGGGCTTCGGCGCGCCCGCGGCCGGCCCCGCGGCCCTCGCGCAGCCCGCACCCGCGAGCGGGGGTGAGTCAGCGCGGCGGCCTGAGGGGCCTGGGATCGGGAGGGGGTGCTAGGGACGGAGGGGGCCTGGGGACCAGGGGTCCTGGAGGGGGACCTGGGGAGAGGGCCCTGGGGACCGGAGCCTGGGAGGGGGGCCTGGGACGGGGGGGGGGACGGAGGGGGCCTGGAAGGGGGCTTGGGACCCGGGGTCTGGGAACGGGGTCCCTGGGAAGGGGGCCTGGAACCGGGGCCCTGGGGCGCGCCCAGGGGGACAGGCCTCCGAGCTCCGCGGTGGATGCAGAGGGCCCGCCGCAGGTCCACCGCCAGAGCGGGCCTGGGACTCTGTGTGTGTGTGTGTGTGTGTGTGTGTGTGTGTGTGTGTGTGTGTGTGTAGGGCCTGGGGTCTGGGGAAAATGGGGAGGAATCTCCTTGGAGATCCTCATAGAGACCCTGCCTGATTGTGGGTCGGTACTCCCGGGACCACAATTCCTCATGACGTTTCATCCCAGGCCATTTCCACCCCCGCGTGGCCGGGGAATCCAGCACAGCACAGCCCCATAGTGTCCCCTGCGCCTCCACGGAGGCCTGCCTTGGGCTCCCAGCTGAGCCCGGTCGGTGTGGGCAGTACAGCAGGTGTGTGCCCCTCAGACATAGCTTCCTCTTGCAGCTGGGAAGGCAGGAGGGTGTCCAAAAACTCACAAATTTCCCCTGGGACCACTTGCAGGCACTGGGCTAGGCATTTTACTTACATTTACTCATCTTATACTCAGTGTCAAACCCATTTCAGAGATGGCAAAATCAAGGGGGGAAAAAAAAAGGACAGTACTAAAACAGCTAGCAAGTTGCAGAGTGAGGATTTACACCTGCTTCTGTAAGACTCTAGGCCCTGTCCACCTGACTGGTGTCTTCCACGTGCCTGACTCTGAGTGAGATACCAGGACATAATGGACTTCGGCCAAACGTGGCTCTGTCCTCTGCCATTTTCCAAAGGCGGCCCAGGACTGCTGTGGTTAGCTTCAGAACAGCATGTCTACCCGTGTTCCTGCTGTTTTTCTGGCTTGAAAGAATAATTTCTTAAATTATGTAGTACAAAAAAAAAAAAAAAAAAAAGTAGATATCACCTTCACAGGGGCATCCAAAACAGCCCTTGCTTCCTGTTTAGTGCTATCATTTTGGTGGGGTTTATGGTCTGTTGGAATAAGTGGTATCTTCCATTTTTTTTTTTTTTAAATGTTTACAAGTAAGGCTCCTTATGGTCATGTTTGTATTCATTCAACATTTCCCGAGCACCCCCTGTGTGCTAGGCCCACTGGGGACACAGATATGACTAAGCCAGTTCCCGTGGCTGGAGGAGCTGGAAGCATCCCTGGAGCCGCTTGCTGTGAGAAATGTAACAAGCCTTCTGTAACATCTGAGAAGCCGGGGTATCTTGCCCAGAGTCACACAGCTGTGAGTGACAGATCTGGGACTTGATCCAGTCCCAGGCTTCCGCAGTCACCTGGGAGGTGACAGGCTGTGCGAGGAGGCGGGAGCGAGTCTTTTGTTACCAGCCAGCCAGGGAAGTCTTTCCCGGTTGCAGCGGCTCCGCACAGACCGGCACACACCTCAGGGAAGTCCTGGGAAATGCCTGTCCGCAGGCTCGCACCAGCGTTCGTTTGTCCACACCTCTTCCTCGAGACCACCAGCTTCCCTGGGCTGGCTTGGCCTGAGGGAGGCCCTCCGGAAAAGATCCCAAGTTAGAACTTTCTGAGGGAGAAGCAGGTAAAAGTCAGCCCAGGTAGCCAGAGGCCCCTGGGAGTTGAGCCTCTCCCAGAACGGTGGGGCTCTGGGGGCTGACAGCCCGGATAGGAGGTTCCCTCTTTGGCGAGGGTGGGGCACAGGGTGGGGCACAGCCCTCTGAGATCCTCCTGAGCTCACACCCACCACAGCTGCAAGTGCTCAGCTGCGGTCCCGAGCGGGGCATGGGGATCCAGGAGGTATTGTAGGATGGTGGCTCCATAGGTGGCCAGCCAGGATGGAATTGATCTGCCCTTCCAGCCCTAGATGGTGCTGAGCAAGTAATCCCCCCTGACTAGCCCAGAAGGCCAGAAGCTGGGATGGATGGGGTGCATGTGCCTTGGCCTTCGGGGACTGGGCGGATGCTGGCTCCCACCACCGCCTATTTCCTAGATCAGCGGTCGCCGTGAGGTCCGAAAAGTGGGCGGCCGCTGTCTTAGATGACGCGCCTGTACTGAGTGCTCTAATGCTGGGTCCCTGGGGAAAGAGGTGTCCGGTGCCGGCCTGAGCCTGAGCCTCATTGTCTCTCCTCTGGGGCTGGGGCTGGGCCAGCCTGAGCAATGGACACTTTGTTTCCATTCATCACCTTGGGGAGGACCCAGAAGGTTTACTTTTTCCCATCCGGATTGCTGAGCGCCCAGCCCAGCTCTGCCCCTGACTCACCGAATCGGTTCCTGGCAAGCCCGTTTCCCCATCTGGGCCTCAGTAAGCTCCCAGGAATGTTCTGGACCCTGTCTGCCCCGTTCCAGAAGGGGTCAAGGATCTGAGTGAAACAGTACCCACTGCTTATGCCTGGAACTCGTGCCTCCTGTGCTCCTGTTCTGCCGGCCTCTGACTGTGGACACGTGATTATAAATGTTCAGTAGACAACTCAGAAAGCATTGTGGGAGCACATACCCTCACTCTGTGTGTAGGTGTGTGTGGGTTCTCAAAGAGGCGGAGCCTTCATCTCCAGAGGAACACGGATGGACTTGAGAGACGGGCTGAGGGACTGTCTGGAGTCCAGGGCGGGCCGGGCCTGCGGATGAGGGGCCTGAGCCTGGGGCTGGAAGGGTGGAGTAGGGTGGGGCCACTTCACTCCAGGGAGGCCAAGTGCACAGACTGGCATCATCCTGAACGGATCCTGGTAGAGGAGGTGCCTTGGGGGAGGTGCTGCCGCTCAGATAGGAGAAGCCCTCTGAATGCCGAGGGAGGGCAGCTGACATAGCTGATCAGAATCAATCACTGTTTGAGTCGGAAAACAGCGTTGATTATAATTTATATCGACTGGGGATTATTTCCATGGATTATGTGTCCCTCCCATCAGTCCCCAGGCTGAAAGCAGCCTTGCTGCTGCTCACCCCTCTGGCCAGCTGGTACAGGGACACCAGTCCACCTGTGGCCATCTCCCGTGGCCTCCCGTGGCTTTTTGCCAAGCAGTTCCTGAGAGGCTGCGAAGAGGCCTTGCAGACAATAGTCAGCCCCCAAAGAGCAATTCGGTTTCCATTTGGCCAACACTTACTGTTCACTCTGCAGAGGAGCCTTTAGGAGGCTCTGAATAGGATACAGAGACCCGTGAGAGGTCCAGTGTTTGCATGAGAGGGCAGGGGATGCTGTTCAGTATTCCGGACTACCCCAGAGGGGAGACCTTCCGCCAGTGCCTCGGGAAGCAGCAGGAGTGGAGGGCTGCCCAGAGGAGGTGGCTCATGAGCCGGGTCTTGGAGAACGATTGGATCTAAGAGCATCCTTTAGAGAGAGAAGCGGGAGGAAAGGCATGGGGTACAGGATGTGTCCGGGGAAGGAGGAAACCAGAATAGGGTTTGTGAGAGGGACTGTTGGGCAGTGAGGCAACACAGAAACGGACAGGACCAGATTGTAAAGACCCTCCCGTGCTATGGTCCGGTCCTTTGACAGACACTGACTGAGTCTCTGCTGTGCGCCAGAGTGTGGGTGGTGGGCCCCAGCAATGGACAAAACAAAGTCTCTGCTCTGTTGGAGGGTCCGTTCCCATGGGGAAGATGGATAATAAGCACATACACACATAAACATGTCACCTGTGCCCAGTGCTATGGAGAAAATACTGCCGGGAGGCAAGGTGCCGGAGGGGTGAATAGCGGGTGGTCAGGGAAGGCCAACAATAAGGCAGCCAGAGGCTGAAGGGAGCAGCCCATGTGGAGATGGGTAAGGAGGGCTTCCCGGCAGAGGGAATAGTACCTGCTGAGTCCCAGAAGCTGGAACAGGTTCTGTAGGCCACTGTGGTCCATGGGAAGTGGGTTTCTTGTGGTTTATTTTATATTTTAAATTAGAGGAATGACATAGGTAAATGTATGCTCTGGGCATACTGTATGGGTGAGGGGGGGGCTGGAACAGGGCACGGGGTAGAGAGCAGAGGGCAGCTTTGAGCCCAGGCATTGGTTTGGGAGAGGGTGAGGTAATTTGTTTGTTCAACCAATAGTTTCTGGTTCTTACTACATCTCAGGTACCCTGCGGGGCTCAGGGAAGACAGTGATGAGTGGAAAGGACACAGGTGGGCCCCTCCACGTATTTGCCACTCGCAGGAGGAGAGCCGGGGCCGGGGCTGGGGCTGGGCAGGGGGCAAAGAGCGGAGGGCCACTGAGAGTCGGTGTTGCAGCAGAAGCCACAGGAATTTGTGACTACTCAGATGTCAGGGAAAGGGACTGGAGGAGTCATAGTTGAGGGCACAATGAAATCCTTCTGGGAGGGGCGGGAGCAGGAAAAACAGGGCAGGTGCTGCCTGGTGGGGGCTGTGGTGCCTGCTGCCCTGGGTGGAGCAGCTAGTTGCTCAAGGCGCCACAGGGACAGGCAGAGACTCGCAGATCCCTCCTCCCTGGTCCTCGCAGACCCCGCCCTGAGCCTGCAGTGCCTCTGCCTGCACAGGCACCACGGGGCTATTCCCAGCTGCAGCGGAGAGTAAATCAGTTTCAGGTAGGAGAGGAGCTATTGCTGACTGGACGACCTTGGGCAATTCCATTGTCCCTCAGAGCCTCGGTTTGAGAATCTACAAAATGGGTTGATAACTTCATCACAAGGCTGTGGTGAAAATCCAATGTGCTAACGGCTGAGAGAAGGCATGCGGAGCAGTCAAAGGATTGAGCCCAAGTGTCCATCCTGTCTGTGTTGGAGGAGTCGATTCACGCAGGGGCACGTACAGACGCTGGCTTGGGGCACGGATGTAGGGCCATTCCGTGCTTGCTATCAGCTGGGCAATGAGTAATGCTGTGTCCTTGTTCTCTTTCTAGCTGGTCCTGAGGACATGGGGACCACGATCAATGGAGATGTGTTTCAGGTAAGCACGATTTTGCCTCAGCAGTAATAGGGACCGACAGCCTGACTCCCACGAACCTATGGCCCCATCCTCAATAGGATGAGGCTTTCCGTCTTCTGGTCACTCCAGTCTGTTTAATTGGGATGGGAACACAGAGGTTTTGACATGTTTGTTTGTTTGTTTGTTTTTGTTTGTTTTTTGTCATGTAAGAGAAGGGGATGAGGAATAAAAACCACTAGAGACAGGGATTGGTGGGGTGTGGCCTCAGTCTGCCCATGGCTTTGTCCTGCTCACAGAGGGAGGGATGAAGTGGCTCTCAGTGGCACAGACTGAAGGAAGCACAGGACCTGCTCACGTTGGCCCTCCCAGACTGAACTGAGTGGCCATCTCTACCTGGGTAGGCCCTTGACCCAGATATGTCACTTCTCAGGATTTTTTCTAAGGAAATAACTTGACAGGGACACCCAGATTATTTGCAGGATGATGTGTAATAGCAGACAAACTGAAACAACCTAAATGTCCGGCACTGGGGGCCTGGGTGGGCAAATGGGAAACCCGAGCTGTATTGACAGGAAAAGAAGCCAGCAATATCTTCAGTGGAAAAGCAGTCTGCAGAATAATATGCGCAGTACGGTCCTGCTTTTTATTTTAGAAATATGTTTGCACAAAATATCTGTAAGGAAGTCTACTAACTATGAACAGTGGTTAGCCCCGACGTGGGAGTTGGGGAGGGATAAGAGGAGAGCGTTCACTTTTTCTTGTTTACCAATCCTTTAGAGTGGCCCTGTACTGCACACACATGCACACGCCAAAACACGTAGTAAGGACGTTTCTAGTTAAAGAATATGCCCACCTAACCCTCCTCCCCTCATATATACATACATTGGCTTAAAGTACTTAGCCTGGTGAAGAAGTATGCTGCACACCTGAAACTCATATAACACTGTATGTCACCTATACTTTAATTTTAAAGAAGTTTTGGGACTTAGAGAATTTAGCTCACAGATGGCATCCCCAGGACCCCACAGATCCCCTTTACTTTTTACCCCCCCTATCCCCCCTCCAAGGTGCCTGGGAGGGGTGAAGCCTTCAGTGGATGAGCTTCATTCCCACTGGGAAAAAGGGCCAAAGGCCCTTGCCCCCTTGGCTTCAGCTCTGCCATCTGCCGAGCCCCTGTGGCTGGGGCAGAGCTGGCCTCCTGAACCCTCGGAGAGAATAAACAATATGTTCTTACATAAGCGGGATGGGCTGGTACCTTACACAGGGAGCCCGGCCAATTCCTATTTCTGGAAAAGTACTCAACTGTGTGCAAGCTAGGAAGTCAGTCTCTCCCAGGGCTTTAGGACTCCGTGTCTCTGTGGGTCTGAGAGCCCCACATAGTCAACGTGGCCTCCTGTTTGGTTTGGTCATGGAGACCCAGGCCGCCCCTGGGCTGGGAACTCTCCAAAGGACTTTGCTAGACCTAATGGTCTGTGTTCTCGGGGGGACCTGGAGCTGGAGATACACTTGGAACCACAGACGTAGCTGGGCACTATGGGAGCATCATTTCCCCTTCCTACAGATTAGGATCTGCGGCCTTCTCTCTCCATACCCTCTGGCCTCACTTTGTATTTGGCCGGTCTGAGGAGCCCTGGGTGGGACTCCTCCGGTCTCAGTGTGAACTCTCATTTTCACCGATCCCAATAATAACCCCGGGGGCGTGCTTCTTTGTTAGTTGTCTCAGATTTGTGCCATCCTAGAAGGGGTCCCAGATGAGACCCGTCTCTCAGAAGCCAGTTCTGTCCATGCCTCCCTCCCTGCTCTGGTGCCCTTTGCACCTCATCCTTGTAGCAGGTCGGAGGTGGGAGCCCCTCCACGCCACCCTCCAGCCTTTTAGAACCGAGCATAGAGCAGGGTCTAGCTTGTGCTGCAGGTGAAGGAGAGCCTCACATGCCCCTCACATTCTCTTCCTTTTAAAAAATGTTTTCATTGACTTTTTTAGAGAGAGAGGAAAGGAAAGGGAGAGAGTGAAGCATCAATGAGAGCAGAAATATCCATTGATCAGCTGCCTCCTGCACACCCCTTACTGGGATGGAGCCTGCAACCCGGGCATGTGCCCTGAGAATCAACCAGTGACCTCTCTGTGCTTGGGGCAGTGCTCAGCCAACTGAGCCACACCGGCCAGGAGGCATGCATACCCAACTTTCAAGTGTCCCAGGCAGAGCTTTCTTGATACTTTCATTGTGATGTTGTGTTGTGTTATTTTTTTTTTGTTTGTTTGTTTTTTTAGCCTGTGGGTCACTAGGGGTCCAGCTACAAACCTGCTCCCCATCAAGGCCGAAGGATAGGCCTGCCACACCTTTTCCAGTCCCATCTGGCACTGCCAGGGGCAGGGGTGGGAGGCCCCTGCAGCACTCCCTCTTCCTGCACAAACTGTATCCCTTCCCCACCCCTTCCTTCTTCCCACTTTGAGCTACTTAGAGGAATCAACAGCTTAGTTTAGCTTTAGCCAGTCAATCCCAAAGGCGGATATGCCTTCTCCTCCTGCTGTCTCTGGGGTCACAGCATGGGCTCGGCCAGCATGGCCCACGGAGATGCTCATATGGGGTCCAGCAGAGGGGTCCCACAGGCTAGGGGTTCCAGGGAGCCTCCTGCCTTTGGTCCTGGCCATTCCCAACCCCTTCCCTCTCCAGCCTGGGAGGGGCTCAGAGCATTCCTGCAGCCACTGGTGGGTCCTCCCAGGCTGCCAACCCTCCTGGCAGTTGACCTGCTCTCCTCACTGGGACATTCCTGCTGTTTCTCCCTCCCACCACCCCACCCACCAGCAGAGGTGGGGCCGGGAAAACAAGGCCATTGCCGCCCCGCAGCTTCTCAGGACTTTGCTGGCTACACCACTGTGCCCTTCTGGTCGCGGGGCAGCTTGGCAGCAGCCTGCCGGCCTCTCAGGTGCACATCCTCCACCGGCTGCCGGATTGCACATCACTTGTCACACAGGGTCCCCACCTCACATCCCGAGTGGGGTGTTGCCCCTCCCATTTGGCAGGTGATGAAGCACAAGGAAAGGGGTTCTGAAAGGTCCCTCATCCAAGGAGTGGCGGGAAAGGACTACAAGCCCAGTCCCTCTGACGCTGTCCCAGGCTGTTCCTGTGCCCTCCACCTCGCTCTGCAGGCAGCCACTCCTCCTGCACTGAGTCTCTCATGGTCCCCGAGTGCCATGCACTTGCTGGGGCAGTGGATGAAGAGGCAAGTCCAATGTGTGTTTTGTCGCTTGTGACAGCACAGAGACCAGGGAAGAAGTGATGCTGGTGCAGGACAGCAAGGGCTCGGAGACTGGGGAGTATGAAGAGCTGAGTCTGATTCTTCCCGTGTGTCAGGCACCTCCAAGAGCTTTACGTGATTTAACTCATTTCATCCTCCCAACAACCCTGCGACGTAGGTTCTGTCATTGTCTCCATTTTACAGATGAGGAGGAGGACGCAGGGCGGGTAGAAGCTCACTCTGCTGACACAGCTGGGAAGAGCGGGGACTTGAACCAGGTGCTGCTCGGAGTCAGGAAGTGCCACAGGGAGGGCGTGCTGAAAGTGGTGTGGAGGCTGCCTGAGGGGTTGTGGGTGGGCCTGGCTGAGGGGACGGCATGTTCAAGGTACAGAGGGTAAGACACTGAGTCCAGGACTTGCCCAGAGCCTGGGCCCACTGCAGACAGAAGGGGGTTGGAGGATTCTGAGGTACAAGGTGTGGGGCAGGCACAGCTGCCAGCCAGAGCAGGTGAGTGGGCCACACTGCCCATGGGAAGTGGTGGCAGAGGTAGGCCCAGCTTGGCCAGGGCCTGAGGCCTAGGGTACAACCATCTCAGGGTCCAAGATGCTTGGAACATCCTGAGCAGTGCCCCTGGATGTGCAGCTGCTCTGGGGCTGAGAGAAGTACCCGGGGGTCCATATGCTCTTCAAGGTGCTCCCCAGTTTGCTGGCAACACCACTATGCTCCTGCCACAGACTGGGACAGGCTGTGGGGGAAGAATCTGGATGGAGTCAGACAGCCCGGGCTTCATTTCTGGCTTTCCCCAGCGGGACAGCCTTGGACTAGCCACTGCTCTGAGCCAGACCTCCCATTTGTAAATGGGGGTGAGAAGCCTTGCCCTGCTGCCCCCACAGGCCTGTGGAGAAGAGTGCTCTGAAGCCCAGGAAACGTTTTATAAACTGGCCTAGCCAGAGAGAGCCCAGGGGTGTGCCAGAGAGATGGGGGATGGAGAGCAGAAGGAGGGGGCACAGGCGCTGATCCTGGGAAGACAGGTTTATCTGGGAGACAAAAAGTGGACACACGAGCTGAGACCGGTTTGGCTCAGTGGATGGAGCGTCGGCCTGCGGACTGAAGGATCCCAGGTTCGATTCTGGTCAAGGGCGTGTGCCTTGGTTGCGGGCACATCCCCAGTAGGGGGTGTGCAGGAGGCAGCTGGCCGATGTTTCTCTCTCATCGACGTTTCTAACTCTCTATCCCTCTCAATTCCTCTCTGTGTAAAATCAATAAAATATATTTAAAAAAAAAAAAAAGTGGCACACGAATCATGTGCACCGGAAATGAGTGTGGTCCCTATTGGCTACTCGGTCGCCACTCTGTTCACACCCAGAAATCCAGTTTGAATCCTGGCTCTGCTGCTTCCTGGCTGGCTGACCTTGGGACTTTGGTGCTAGACTTTCCCTCCCTGTAAAAGAAAGGTAATAAAACCCACCCTGTGTGGCGGTCAAGATAAAAGAGAACCGTTTAGTGGCACATTCTCTGCCAGCTTTAAAGCTCGGGAACCGGGGAGTCTTCATTTTAGGGCAGGCGTGTGGCCATGGTGAGACTCCTGCCCAGAGGACCCTTCCAGCTCAGCTCCCCCTCACCTGGCAGCCTCTCTGTACTGAGTTTCCCAAAGGCTCCTGCCCCACATGGCCCTCATGCTGCTCTGGGCATGAAACGCCCTGCCCCCCGTCGTTTCCCCGTCCTAATCTGCCCTCAGGCTGGTAGGGGCATGCCCTTCCTTGCTCCTGGTCTTTTCCCTGACC